CTATTTAATGGTACAATTACCATTTGATGATTTGTTAACGAGGCTATAACAAACTTTGACTTAATTCTTGGCAAAGGTATAAACCTGGATGCTCCACCATCTACAAAAAGAGATTCCCAAACCTCAACAGGCTTTCCATACAARCACTTTTGTGTGCTATCCTTGCACCAGTCAACAACAGCAAAGATATGTTCYTTCCAAGAGCCGCCTATCTGAACAACRTGTTTGATGTAATGGTTTATGATGCCTGGACGGTCACATGATGTACTGCAAATCTCACCACCGTTACTGCTCCATGAGGCAATCACTCTGGCAGACTTTGCATGCCTTGCCTCTTTCTTTGATCCAAACCTTTCATTTGCCAACATAACGTGTCCATAGACACGAACAGTTTGAGAGAGATGCTGAGCTATTACATCAACGTTATATAATGCCTTATAAACGGAAGAAAGGCTAGTGATATCATCATCATCAAGAGTGATAACCTTGTGTACCTTAGGCAGAATAATGTTTTCATCAAGTTTCTGCCAGTCAACTTCATGAATATTTGCTGCTGTTGATGCATGGGTGACATCAATTCCTAGTTCAACATAATCAATGACATCCACTGTCTTCCTTTTAAAAGTTGGAAGAAAATCATCCTCAAAATCGGATGGGAAKGACACACAAGATAGATAACGATCAGAAACAATCTTTCTCATAAGTTGGACTTCAATAGACCTATTGTTAATGGTAAAACTACTCACAATACCATTATATCTTTCGAAGCTRAAGCACCAAAAGTTATATATTGGACCATAATCAATAACACATTCCTTCAAATGGCCATGCAAATGCATGTTGGGAGTTACCCTATGTTTTCCATAAAGTCTCTCAAACTTTTGGCAGAATTGTATCAACATAATATCAGCTTTTTCAAGRTCTAATTTTGATATGACAGGTCTAGTAAGAAACTTGCAAGCTAAAACAAAAGCCTGCCAGCATTGCATGTGCTGCTCTGGTAGAATACCATTTAGAACATATAAAGAATATACAAGAGTCCAGTTCTTCCATTGGGCTGCTGTATAGCATCCGTAATTAGATGAAATGTTATGAGGTAAGCGCCCAAGTCCTGTTCCAACATCAAAATTCTTAATTCTTTGCTCTATGATCCGGATATCRGATGAMGATAGCAAACCACTGTCAACCCAYGTCTTAAACATTAACTTTCCAGTACCAAGGAACAAGTTRTGCATTGGATCAACAATAGTAAACCTAATCACATCAAAATATTCCAACTCAATTAGTGCACTGTAATACATACCATATTTCATTGACAACCTCTGGTACTCTGTCTTATTTTTGGCCCTTTTCAGCACTTTTGCATATTTTCTATGCTTTTCTAMTTCCCTATTTGGCCAATTGKCCCTTACAAAGCCAGAGTAATCAAAGCTATCTTTCACATTTCCTGGAAAAARCTTGAAACATTTAGAACATCCATAATTGGAGTTATGACTTTTAAAGCCACACAGTTTACGTGCAGCAGGTATGTCACATGCAATGCAKACTAAGGCTGCCCTACACTTCAGTGGAGCCCTACTRATGGATGTCTTTAAATACAACCCAGACCATAAAGCTTTTARGTCATCAACCAGAGGATGTAAAAACTCATTTAGATCAACTTTTCCATCTTCAAGGTCAGGAATGATTCCTGCCACAATAATGTTCTCCCACTTGAAGCGAATATTCCTGGGTAGATTAAGATTAGCAAGATACAACACACCAACAGAATAGTCATTACGGTGCTTCAGTGGTTGGAAGAAATCAAAGTTCAACATGAACATGTAATTCCTTGGACTTCTAAGAAAAAATCCCTTCCTCTCACTGCTAAATTCATCCCAGATCTTTCCATCCACAACATCTGACATATATCCTTCCTTYCTTTTCAACTCCCTCCATTTTTCGCAGTCTTTAGGGAAATCCTGCCTACATAACATTTCCTCAAGCTTATTGATTATTCCATTGAAACAATAAATTTTCAAGGGATAAAATTCCTCYTTGTTTCCATCAAGGATAACTCTCTTTGACAGTGGAGCGCCACACACATTTCTGCTCTTAGGAAACTTCTTATTCTGACAGTATTTTATCACCCTTATTCCATAACGATTATTTTCAGTACAGTCTTGCAGATCATATAGTTTTGAACAATTCGTACATACTGCATACTTCCTAAAAGTATCACGGTCAAGACCAGCTAATTTACGCAGTAAATAAATAGATGTGGGAAAACCAATTGCTACTTGCTTAAGAAATACATTCCCAGAAATATTTGCTAAAACTTTAAAAAACTGACCATTAAASTGAAGAAGCCAMTCTAAACCGTTATCACTGACTTTACAAAATGATTGCCATAAAAGCATAAAATAGACAAACCATTTAAGAAGATTTGTTACTTTAACTACAGTAGACTCATTAGATTCTGGTTCAGGACAAGGATTCATATCACAGTCTAAATCAAGCATTATCTGRTCCTTGCTAACATCTTCCCAAACCTCAGGACTATCGTCTTGAATTTGCTTGTGTGCATCAGTATTGTTGTCATCACTTGTTCCCTAAAAACAATTTCATATMTATTTAGTACAGAAAATTTAAATTATTAAATTTGATAGTTCCTTAACAGAAAAAAAAACAATTATTTTTTGTGCAAGCTATAATGAATCATAAACTACCTAAAAATAAAATTGATATTGAACTCATTATAAAATAATAGTTCTGGTATTTTTTTTCAATCGTTTCATAATTGTAAATATACATGAGGCTTTTCTCTTTAGACCYAAAATTGTAAACATTCAAGTTGAACATAAAATTGCATGAGATAAARTTATCATTTCGCACACAAAATTTAAATGTTTTGTTTTATAYTTACATCGCTATCAAGTGATTCATCATAGTCTTGCTCATAACTTCCAGATGACTCTTCATAATGGCCATAATCATTCTCTGTGGGTAGGAGAATAATAATTTATTGCTGATATGTTAATGGTTTTTCAATTTTACACATATTGTGTATATTAACTTTCTCAAACCTAATCCTGAAAGCAAGTGAAAATATGAGTATGTGTGGTTGCCATGGAAACACATTTTTCACCAGTGATRGTTTTTATATAGCAAGTTATGCCTAATGGATCTAAAACTGAACTTACCAAAATCATGATTAACTTCAGTGTTTTCCTGAGTAGAGGTGGAACACCGCAATTGACTTTCTTTGTAATTTTCTGAATAAATGAATCAAAACACATTACATGATATTGYCATGGCAACAACAAACAAAACACGCGTAATCACTGCTCAAAATAAATAATACTAATAACTTTTTAAAACCTTTGGATTATCCAATTGAGACATAAGGATACAAACTGTTTAATTACAACAACTTTAACATGATAGAAAAACAAAAATACATTTATCAAGAACGTTTTTCATTGTAAAAAGTTAAAATGTCAAAGCTATAACGGAAAAACAATGCGGCAAACTTATATCTTTACCTGTTTCAAAAAGGTTTTCTTGGGTGTGTTCATTTTCCTTGTAGGCATCTTTATGAAGCTGATTGCTTCGTGATGACCATGTGTTTCCTCTATTTCGATCATTTGTCAACCTTTTATGTCGGTAATACGTTGATCGACCCACATCTTCGTCGCAATGCTCACAGTAWACCATGGCCTGCAGAATGTCGAAAACCAGGACGCTCGTTTTATCCCTTTACTGAACTACATTGTATTGATCTGTTCTCKAAGCCCGTTAATGTTCAATGGTCGTTGTTTCTCTCAACTTTTCTCTCTTTGCAAATAATGATAAGTATACCGCTCACCGAAAACACGTGAATGTACACATGACGACTGCGTGACTCAAATGTTTAGACCAATCAGAAAGAACAACACATCCATGATCAGTGGGARATAAGTCACGTAGCTTGAATTAAGCCAATCACATGAAAGTATGTTAGCTGTGTCCCGGATGTCTGGGTATAAATTCTTGGAGTTTGTTTACTATTCATTATATCAACGTGTAACTTTTCTAAGCTGTGTTTGAATTGACATTTTTCATATGGAGACTAGTGAAGTCAATCTTAGCGACAACTATGTTGAACTACTTGAGGATACCATCAAAGAAAGCAAAACTTTGAGGATGGAGATAAAGGAGCGGGACGACGAAACGCGTAAGATTTTGAAGGATCTTACTCACCGCGTCGATGAGCTATGTGGCGTTGTTAAAGAACCTTCGTCTCATTTACACGAAAGAAGGAGAAGAAGTAGTAGTAAAGTTGTTGTGCCAAAGCGTTGTAGGGTAAGTAAAATGTAGATATCGATTTAAGTTGATCTTTATGAGCAGGATTTAGTTTCAATGAGCGTCATGGCGAAGGTGTGAAAATTTGCTCTCTCTCAAACAAACAGACTTGCTGCTCAAGAATAGTCCTACATTTTATGAAATTACAATGAATTTATGTTTCTTAACCTGGGCCCTGGACAGTATTAATTTTGAGTCGCTTAAATCCATGGTTTTAACGGTTTTCGAGCRTTTTATGTGTTGTGCTCAAAGCGGCCGCAGTCATGCAGAACTTTMGCCACGTGGTTTGGAGCGCGACGCTCAAGAGCGCTTAGCGCATCAAGAATAGCATTGAAAKTAGCATAACAAGACCATGTTCAGAATGTGTAGTAGCAACAAATTGAGAAAACGACTGAGGTAAAATCTAAAATAAGTAAGGACACATGACATCTGTGGAAGCCCCTAATCTTTGGGACTTGATATATACTAGATATAAAATATGCATGAATATTCATTAATATTATACCTATCTCTTACATCAGACTAAGTGCCGCAACATGTACAAAACTCTTCTTAAGAGCAAGAAAATCACTGGGTTTGATTTTTCTGAAGGGTAAGGATTACTGTGTAATAAAATGTCATTTGGCATTATTTAAGCATATAATATTATAAATAATGATTGGTTCAATTGCATWATTTCATTATGATGAAGAAGTTATGCTGGTCCCCTCTAGTGACAATAATCCTTAGCGTTAAACAATGTAATGTTTTTGTGTGGTGTCATAATGAAATAAGGCAATTAATTGTTAATAATCATTATTGTTTTGGCTACTAATGGGTTATTCAGCTCACTCAGTTCAGTGTTTTGCTGACTTAAACATTTCAACGGGGGTGAGATGAATAGCCCAAGTAGCCAAAACAATTAAATATAACTTAGCACTCCAAGAAAAGTTACAAACTTACTATTAATTGTTAATGTTTTTGTAACATTTATCAAAAACTTATTTAATTTCTTTACAAAGGAAAACTTCAAGCTTGAATGAAAAAGTTGTAGAAGAAGTAATAGAAGCAGTACGACTAGATAATGGTGGTGAGGAAAAGTGCCAGTGGTCTCAAGCCCAAATGAGAGGTAATTCTTAGCTGTATTCTAGTATGATTGGAAAATCTGAGTATGATGGATGGTTACACATTTAAATTCAAAATTCTTGCACCCCTGTCTAATGTATGCATATATTTCYATTTGTAGAATCGCTTGCTACTTATTATCGCACRTTAAAGGACAATTCAAAACGTGACCCTGCCATTGACCATAATGTACAGTGTAGGCGATTAGGACGTGTAAGGGAGGTATGTCAAATCTTGCATTTTTTAAATAATTGCCTTATTAAAATCCATTGTGAATATGAASATAAGATTTATTCTTTATTTCATATGATACCAAAGTTGCAAGTGTTAGCAGTGTATTTTTAGACCAGTATTTTTTTCAACTATGTTTCTATATGCTTCTTTCATGTTTTGTTTTTGTGCACCTTAAATTATGAACTTTTTACCAATTAGTCATTATTTATAAAGTTAGTTTAACAAAATGATGGTTTTTGTTGTTTACAGAAGATTGAAAGAAGAAAAGTGTCCTTGGCCAACATTGACAAGTGGCATGAGAARATTAAAAAGAGAATAGAACAGACACTAAACAGGGATTATACAAGCTCAGACGAAAGTGGTGATGAGGAGGATGAAAATGGCAAAATGAGAAAGGTTTTTAAAACCAAACARCTTAGATGGGAAACCYCACAACTAACTGACATCAAGGAAATTCTTGATGATTTTTATAGAAGTAATGTAAAGGGTGTGCAAATAGAAAGAAGACGCCATAGATCATTTTCGTTGCGTCAAAAACCAGCTAATTCTATTGTGTGGGCTGTTARAAATAGTATAGCGACAAGCACACCTGTTAGGGTATGATATAAGTAAATTGTYTCTTTCGATAATTTTCAAGTGGTTATCCATTGTCAAGGAAAAGCTTTATAATGAAAAAYTTCTTATCCTGCAAATTTAATCTTCATTAGTTGTTGTTCTTTGAAATAAGACATCCCTCAGATGATGAGGTTATTATAAATGATTAGCAATTTATCCA